CGTCTGTCCTGTCACCCTTCGACACACGTGGCCATCCTACAGTTTGGTGCATTTCGGCCCCTGCTGGGGGTGCTGACCAGACTGCCTGAATGATCTAGGTTACTTAATTTCGAAGTTAATATCTTTCGAGACTATCGGTAGTTAATGCAAATTCAACGGTGAATATGGAAAAAGTTCAACTATTAGTTGGTAAGTGGCAGTAAACGATTAGGGGCGACCAAATACCTTCTATAAACTGGAAAAGAAGAGGCACCCTTTTGCATACCAATCTCTTTGAGGCCTTAAGTGACTGTTCCCGATTCATTTTCATTTGAACAAAAACCCTCCATTCAAACATAGTCAATGTAAACGAAGGGATTACGGCCTATATTTTTGTTAATTACAGCCATTAGTTTAACGACATTGTCCGACTGCCTCTTATGCCCTTCACAGACGCGTGGATGCACGATAGATTTTTGATTGGCTCTGATCAAGGTCGGACGCCATGGCAACCGCTAGGCAACACTTTGACTTCTTAGCTATTCTATCTCACCCAAGACCTCCGATTCTCTTTCCTCGATATCTCACTCGCACATATACACACATACACGTGCACACACGCATACACAGGCATACACTCACAAGCACAGACAAGACATTACTGTTTATGGATCAGTTTCTACGTTTTGCTCAGAGTCCCGGCTGTTTTTTGTGTCAGCGGGATGCTCCAGCTCTGCACTGAACATTCGCCTCGGTAACAGTGCAGAATAGACTTTCACCCGTGGGCCCATTGAAAGGTGGTGCAGGAGACGCCCCGATACCGCCAGAGACACCGAGCAGAATCCTCCGGCCGAGTCTGTCCGGTTGGCAGAAGCCCGATCGCGAGAGAAGCCGATACAAAGGATTGCTCCTCCTGAACGGGTCGCCGACAAGCGGTCGGCGTCTCGGATGGTGCGGCTGTGACGGAGGGCCAGTGGAGGCGGAGGCTGTCCAGAATGCCCAAACTGCCCAAAACGCCCAGCCAGCCGGTCTCCGGGGCGACGACGACGACGACGACGGCGACAGCGTCATCGTCGAAGATGCGCGAGACGCACATTCAGGCCCTCTTGCAGGTGTGCAGCCGCGGCGACGCCGACTTCCTGGGACGGTATCTGGCCGCGGGCGGCCAGATCGACGGAGTCACGGACTCGGCCGGCCGGACGCCGCTGCACTATTGCGTGTACGCGGCAGACGACGTCGAGAAATCGCGACTTCGAGTCCCGCCGCCGGACGAATCGGACGCGCTGGCTCGTGTCGCCGGCTCTGAGGCCAGCCCGGCCTCGGGCGACGAGGCCGGTGGCCGTAGCGACGCTCGGCTGGCCTGCGCTCGTCTCCTCCTCGAGGCCTCGCCACAACTCGTCGACGTACGTCACGTCGCCGGACTCACGGCCCTCCACGAGGCGGTGATGCTGGGCAACCTGCAACTTGTCCGGTTGCTCATCGCCTACGGCGCTGACGTCAACTCGCCCACCGGAGCACAGGCCTCCACGGCCAAGTGGAAGACGACTCGTCGAAAGGAGGAAGAGCTGAGCGATGCCGACGGACGTACACCGCTTCATTTGGCCGTCATCTACGCTCGGCCCGCCATCGTGCATCACTTGGTCACCTGCGAGCAGGCCGTCGTCAACGCCAACCTGGCCGACTCACAGACCGCCTATCCTCTTCATTATGCCGTCCAGCTGCCACAATCCGGTGGGTCGGCAACAACGTCAACGCCAACGCCAACGTCAACGTCAACGTCATCGTCGACTCCGGCGTCGACGTCGGGTGGTATCGCAGCTGCCGTGATCTCGTGGTTGGTGGAGGCGGGCAGGGCTGGCATTGAAGTGCGCGACAGCCACGGACGGACGCCTTTGAACTGGGCCGCGACGATCGGGTCTGTGGAAAGTGTGCGTCGGTTGCTCGAACTTGGCGCCAATACCGAGGCCAGAGATGAGCATGGCCTGACGCCGATGCATTGCGCCGCGTCAAGAGGACATACAGTCGCCTTGGAGACGATGCTGAAGTCTGTCAAGGCAGCCGGTCGCCGAGAGTCTGACTGTGTGGAGGCGAGGGATCGAGACGGCTGTACTCCGCTCTTTTACGCCGTCACCATGGGCCGGTTAGAGACAGTGCGGATGTTGTTATCGCATGGCGCCAACGCCAAGCATCGAGACGCCAAACAACGCAGCCTCTGCCATTGCGCAACTCGCATCCGGCCTGGGCAGACGAAGGCGGATGTGGGCCATAGCAACCGCCTGGCAACGGAGATGTTGAGGCTTGTACTGGCCGCCGGCGCCGAGCCCTGGGCCGCCAATCAGCAGGGCTGTACTCCTCTACACGAGGCCTGCCAAATGGGCAACGCGGCGGTGGTGGCCGAGTTGGCTTTGATGACGCCGGAGTTCGTTGAGGGGGCGA